ACGTAGACATGTGGGGGCGTGTTAGAACGAGCCGTTTTAGGTAGGCGTGGTTGACTCTTAACTTTTATAAAGAATATCTCTTTGGATTTGAGACTTTAGTCTTTGCAACTTTACAGATCTTCTTTATGCACCAAGAGCTTGTAACACTCCAAAGAGAAAAGAAAAATTGAAATCGCATCATATGACCCCTTTAAGCGAATGCTGCTGTTGCGCCCCTTGTGGCAACACTGAGAATGCAACAGTATTTGTGTTTAAACTAGAAGGCTTTCTGCATTAGATCTTAAATTATGATTATTTCAGACTCTCATTTGATTTATTGTCATTCTGAGCAGCTCTCAAGTGCCTGGGACCAACCCATGGGCTCTTTGGTTATACCAATCAGAGATCTGCTTTCAAAACCAGATCTACTGATGGACCAGTGGCTCGATCTGGATGGAGCTTCACCAAAGAGCCAGATGTTACTCAGGGCACAGCTGAAGGTTAGACAACTTGAGCTATCTGCGCTCATTTTGATGGTTGTTTTAGTCACTCGGCCATGAAATAGTATCACAATGCTGTAAATATAATCAACATTTTCTCTTCCATCCAGATCTTGGATTCAAAAATGGCTGCCTTAGTGGCCATGGGTTCAGGTCCTGTGTTGAGTAATAAGCAGGCGGCCACCACCGGTCAGATCAAAATCTCCCTTTCCTTCCAGAAGAAGCTGACAGTGATCATCCATGCGTGCAGGTCCGGTGTAATTAGAAACCCTTTTTCAAGTTTTCAAGTTTAGAAGTCGCCTATGTAAGTCTGAAGTTTGAGGTGAAGTGAGGACGTTCTGTGTTTGTGTGTTTCTGGTTACATGGTTACATCATCTAAGGACAGCTTAGACACCTGCGTCTCCCTCATTCTGCTGCCGGATAAAAGCAAGGCCACGAAAAGAAAGACGACTGTGAAGAAGAAAAATCTGAACCCTGAGTTCAATGAAAGGTTTGGAGACGTGTGTGTGTGTACAGGTTTATATATCCTGGTGGGGACTTAAACCTGACTACACACAGACTCATGGGGACTCGTGTCACGGTGGGGACCTAAATTGTGGTCCCCACGGGTACAAAAGCTTATAAATCATACAGAATTAAGTTTTTTGAAAATGTAAAAATGCAGAAAGTTTCCTGTGAGGGATAGGTTTAGGGGTAGGGTTGGTGTAGGGCAGGGATCCTCAAATCTGGCCCACGAGTTCCACTTTCCTGCAGAGTTTAGCTCTAACCCTAATCAAACACACCTGAGCATGCTAATCAATGTCTTCAGGATCATTAGAAAATCACAGGTAGCTGAGTTTGATCAGAGTTGGAGCTAAACTCTGCAACGCATTGGCCCTCCAGGGCAAGATTTGAAGAACCCTGGTGTAGGGCAATGGAATATACGGTCTGTACAGTATAAAAACCATTGCGCCTATGGAGAGTCCCCACAAGGATAGCTGACCAGACGTGTGTGTGTGCGTCGTTCATGAATAAGAGAGATTTAAGTGAGTTGTAATCAGTTCTGTGAACTATGTACCATGGTAATACTTTACTTTTGCTTTGGAGCACCATCTAAACCAGGGGTGGCGAACTCCGGTCCTGGAGAGCCGCAGCCCTGCAGAGTTCAGCTCCAACCCTAATTAAAACTCACCTGCCGGTAGCTTCCTAGTAACCCTTCAGACCTTGATTAGCTTGTTCAGGTGTGTTTGATTAGGGTTGGAGCTAAACTCTGCAGGGCTGCGGCTCTCCAGGACCGACGTTCGCCACCCCTGATCTAAACACAATGGTGTGTTATTGTAATTTTTTTGTAACATACAGTGTTGGCCAAAATTGTTATGACTAAATTAATGTTTGGAAATGTATACTGATATTTCCTACTGACACACTACAGCAAAAGATAGAAATAACTGACTTAAAACCATTTTAGCTGGTGAAAATACTAGTGTTCTAATACTTTTGGCCACCACTGTATATACCAGGGCTCCAGCTTGTTCAGGTGTGTTTGATTAGGGTTGGAGCTAAACTCTGCAGGGCTGCGGCTCTCCAGGACCGAAGTTTGCCACCCCTGATCTAAACACAATGGTGTGTTATTGTAATTTTTTTGTAACATACAGTGTTGGCCAAAATTGTTATGACTAAATGAATGTTTGGAAATGTATACTGATATTTCCTACTGACACATTACAGTAAAAGATAGAAATAACTGACTTAAAACCATTTTAGCTGGTGAAAATACTAGTGTTCTAATACTTTTGGCCACCACTGTATATACCAGGGCTCCTCAAATCTGGCCCACGAGATCCACTTTCCTGCAGAGTTTAGCTCTGACCCTAATCAAACACACCTGAGCATGCTAATCAATGTCTTCAGGATCATTAGAAAATCACAGGTAGCTGAGTTTGATCAGAGTTGGAGCTAAACTCTGCAGCGCATTGGACCTCCAGGGCAAGATTTGAGGAACCCTGGTATATACCATATAGTATAATACCATAAGAATGTGTTTAATTCATCTTCAAACATTGCATTGTGTAAATCTGTCTGTTGATTTTATGTTCTGAAATGTGTTTGCATTTTCTGTCTTCGATGTGAAGTGGTTTCAGATGAGTTTTTATCAAACCTTGACCCAGTGAGTGTGTCATAATCTGCAATGTTGTTCTGTAGGTTTGAGTTTGATATGAGTGTGGAGGACGCTCAGAGACGAGAGCTCAGCGTTTGTGTGAAAAACGCATCCTCGTCCTTCATGAATCGAGACAAAGACATGATCGGCCAGGTCAGTCTGCCTGGGCTCACTTCAGCTGTACAGGAATATACCGCAAAAAAAATAAAAAAATATCTAGACTTCCTAACACTGAAACATATGTGCACAAAATTATGTAAGATAAGACTTGTTTTCAGAGAATTAATCTTGAATTATGAGTAACTTTTTTTTGTGTTCTTTGTTTTGTATTAAATTTTGTATTATGTATATTTACATTTTACTGTAATTTACTTCGATGTGAAGTGGTTTCAGATGAGTTTTTATCAAACCTTGACCCAGTGAGTGTGTCATAATCTACAATGTTGTTCTGTAGGTTTGAGTTTGATATGAGTGTGGAGGACGCTCTGAGACGAGAGCTCAGCGTTTGTGTGAAAAACGCATCCTCGTCCTTCATGAATCGAGACAAAGACATGATCGGCCAGGTCAGTCTGCCTGGGCTCACTTCAGCTGTACAGGAATATACTGCAAAAAAAATATCTAGACTTCCTAACACTGAAACATATGTGCACAAAATTATGTAAGATAAGACTTGTTTTCAGAGAATTAATCTTGAATTGAGTAACTTTTTTTTTGTATTCTTTGTTTTGTATTAAATTTTGTATTATGTATATTTACATTTTACTGTAATTTGTTACTAATATTTAATTTAATCATCACATTTCATTGTCATTTTCAAAATGTTAGTGTTTCATTTATTGTTGATTTATTCTTGTAGGTGCAGATAGACCTGGGACATGTTGACTTAGTCTCTGGAGTCACAGAATGGTGAGTTTTTGTACTTTTAATACACAAACATATAAATATGTTCTCTGGGCAACACTTTCCAATCTAATTATTATGTATTGTTTATTTTGTTCTGATATCTGTTTAACTTTTTCAAAGACAGAATTTTTATTTTTGGATGAATTGTTCCTTAAATAGTTTTTCTTTGTCGGTCAGGTTTGATCTGAAAGAAGAGCAGAACTAGCTCTAACTAGAACACAGTGTTCTTGACCCGAGCACTTCACAGCCGACCTTAAACCTCTTCCTGAAGTTCATCAGGTTAACTCTGCTGTCATGTATCGCTGCCAGTGCTTCCCTTCCATATTTTTTTATAACTTCACAAACACACATATATTTCTTTCCTCCGTCTATTTATCAACAGATGATTTTTGAGTGACCGGATTATATATTATGATTGATCTTAGTGATTTGAACATATTACTGCACTGACAAATCAAGTTTAGAGTATTACATCAGAACTGATATATAAATTGGTGATATCTGTATAAATCAGTATCAGACGACTGAATGCTAGCCGTATGTATTTACAGAGATGTTGAGTAGGTGTCTGGAAAGAGTCTCGTCTTCCTGTGCAGGTTGCAGGACGCTGCATTTGTGTTTAAATTCAGAAGGAAAAGGATGTTTTAAAATGGGTTTCATGTTTTGTTGTTTTTAAACCAAAGAAATATTTCTTTTTCTTTATTGAAAACGACAGGATACAATCCTAGGTCTAAATGTACACATTTTTGAAGGATAATAATTGACAAAAATTTGTGCACCAAAAATATAAAGTGGTGTTATTTAGTCTACACATCACCACTTAAAAACGATTTAAGATATTTAATGTGCTGTCACCACAATATTTGTGTTGCATTTGGAGAATTAGCTGCTGTTTACACATTCATGTGGCTTATGCAGCTTCTGTAGTCCATTGTGATGCCAAATATCTAGAAACGATGACTTTAAAGCTTGCATGTTACATTGTTTGATTTTAGATTTTGAGTTATTTTGTGGTCATTTTTATTTGCAGTCATTTATGACAGTCTATACATAAGGTTCCCATACTTGTGAAAACCTTGAAACAACAGGGAATTTAAATAGATTTCCAGGCCTGCAAAAATCATGGAACATCATAAAATGTTAAAAGTCCCTGACATTTCTAAAGTGAGTGTAAATTTCTGGTTATGCTTGGACATTGAGTTTCAGAGTCATATGCGTTGAATCAAATGCATTGAGCTGCATTCAGATCTCAGGCTCTATTTTTTTTCTGTTTGGAGACTTTTGTACTCAATGTATGGTTGTTTAAATCACTTCGTTCCAATGATTGGTACCCGAGTTACAAATGAAACTCTAGTAATGTCTAAAATGATTTGAATGATACTTAATCACTAATAGTTGGATATCGTGATTAAAAGTTAAAAGCGTGGGAACCCTGTACAAGAGCTAGACCAAAAGTAAATGCTTTTGCTTAGCTTTGTTCACATTGTCATGATTTTTCATGTTTACAATATACTTAATCTAGAACTACCATTCAAAAGTTTGGGGTCAGCAAGATTTTTTTAATACTTTTATTCAGCAAAGACAAATTAAACTGATCAAAGGTGACATTTATAATGTTACAAAATATTTCTATTTCAAATAAATGCTGTTCTTTTGAAATTGCTTTTCATCAAAGAATCATAAAAGAAACAGTTTGCTGTATTTTTGATTAAATAAATGCAACACTGGTAAGGATAAAACTTTTTAAAAAACAAACAAAATCATAGTTCCCAAACTTTTGAACGGTAATACAGTATTTTTTCTTGTCATGTTTTACTTTACTAGTTTGAGTTCATACAGTATTTTGCTGCATTCCATTAGTTTTTTTATCATTGTGCGCATGTTACTTTTATATTCTACATTATAACATGCTGTAATGTGTTGAGATTTGTGCAAATTGGTAAATACCAAAGAACCAAACCATGCTACAGACGACCATGTTCAGCTGAACTGCACTATTCATACTGCCACACATTTCTGAATGTATTCTCATATTCACAGCCGTCAATAAAACAGTTATGGCATCAGAATGTTGTCAAAAGCCTTTTATTAATATTCAAACGGCATAAGCAATACTACATAAAAAAAAATCACTAAAAAGACCTTCTGTGGAAGTTTATGATTTTTATTTACCAAACCAGTCGATGTTGATCATGCACAGCTTTATTGATGCTGCATTGTGCAAGCAAACAAACGACATCTGCCACCATTTAAAGGTCATGTGGTCTTTTTTTTATGTAGTATGTGAAGTGATTTATAGATCAAATCAGCCAATCAATGCTTTTGTCTTAGTATTTTACAAAAAGACAGTGTAACACGCAGTTCATACATGAATAATATAATGACAACATGTTTTCTCATGGTATAAAGACAAGAGAGCGTGTCTCCCTGAAGCCTTCAAACCGTCTAATAATGACTTCCAGGTCCATTTAGGCACCTTCCCACAAATAAAGACTTCAAAACCATTTCAGTTTTATGTGAGACTGGAAAAGAAGAAATAATGAAGTTTAGTTGGATTTGAGATAATAATCAGAATATTTTTAATTGGATAAACTACATGTATTTCTCCAGACTTGAGTTGCCATCACATACCTGTCGATGAGCGAGTCTCTCATGGTAGTTGCGATGGCGCTGGGCTGCGTTTCACTCAATCTGAAGACGCTCTCGATGACGGACAGCTCCGTGCTCGTGGTGTCCAGCCCACAGAAGGCACACCAGTCGTTCACCACCATACCAGCAGCGATCACCTCACTACCGCGGTTCACCGTCCCAGCCTGCAGAAAGAAAACAATCAGTGCTCTGTTATCAATGAGCCAGCATCAGTGCAAAGAAATCAAGTAGTTCTTTAAGAAGTACATTTCTAAAGCTTTCTGACAAAACACTAGTTACTTCAGTCGGGTTTAATACTTTAATGTATTGAATACGTTTGCCCCTATTAATCATTTCACATAAATATTTAGATAAATACCAAATAAGGCTGAAAATTTGGGATTGGCAGAATCAACTATCACACTGACATTAAAATGACAAAGATTAACAAAAAACTAGTAACTATGATACAAATTTTCAAACATCCTCTGTGTATGTATTTAGCATCAACCCCAAGTACGAGAAATTATAATAGTGTTTCTTATCTTAGTAAACGCCACTATTTATACTAGTTTGGGTCGGTAAGATTTTTTTAAATGTTCAAAAAAATCTCTTAAACTAGTAACTATGATACAAATTTTCAAACATCCTCTGTGTATGTATTTAGCATCAACCCCAAGTACGAGAAATTATAATAGTGTTTCTTTCTTTTTAACGTTCATTATAATAATTTTAGAATAACACTGTATAACATAAGATTAAAAGAAAATACTTAACCCGTTCAGTGATTCACTTTTGCTGCAATTTATTCCTTTTAATAGCATAATCAAAATGAATTAAATAAATATGTATTCTGTTATCTTTTTAAAATGAGCAAATTTACATTTCTATAACCTGTTGTTGTTGTTGTTGTTGTGTTTGTTGTTGTTGTGTTTCTTTCTATCTTAGTAAACGCCACTATTTATACTAGTTTGGGTCGGTAAGATTTTTTAAAATGTTCAAAAAAATCTCTTAAGCTCATCCAGGCAGCCTTTATTTGATTAAAAGTATTAAGTATTTCTTTCAACAACAACAACAAATCATACCAACCCCATACTTTTGAACTGTATGTATATGTTTTGAATATAATATATCATAATCAGTCAGTAGAATTCCTTCAGGTGCAGATGAAGTGATCATCAGATATTAGAGAGCGGTCACTCACCACTAAAGGTACTTGCAGGAGTGATGAGAGCTCATCTTGATCTTCTATGGAGGTTTTGGGGTGGACGAGGCCTCCCTGGTTACTGAAGGCGCAGTAACTACCCACAAGCACCTGCTCCGCAATCGTCTGTCTGAACACTTCCACCTTGAGAGTGTCTGCAAGAATCTCTTCGGTTTCCTGTGGACAATAATTCCCTGAATTTAATACAAAAAAACATCAGCTTTGGGAAATAAACTTTCTAATGGTTTCATCAGCCTTAGAGGTTTTTTAGCGAACTATAAAACATCATTGGGAAATAATTTAGAGCCATTAAGACCATTTAAGGTTTGGAGAAAGCGCCGATTTCAGAGTCTTCCAGTATGCATGTTCTTACTCTGTCCAGATCAGGATGAACTAGAGCAACGTAGTCGTTACAAGCGATGACGTTCCCCAGCGCAGAAAGACGCTCTTCTACTCTCTGAATCTGCACTGAATCTGGCAGGCAGTTCCTAATGTGCTGTAACTCTTGATCTGTTGTGTTGTTGGGCACCAAGAGACCGTGACGATTTCCTGCAGAAGAAGAGCATCCCAAGATGGACACACAACATCTATTAAACATCTCGTATGAGGACATAAAAGCGGAACAAGACCTAATCTGATCTAGCTGCTAAAATGTTAATTTCATCACATTACATGGGGAAGTCGTGGCCTAATGGTTAGAGAGTCGGACTCATAACCCAAAGGTTTATCGTACCGGCAGGGATTGTAGGTGGGGGGGGAGTGAATGTATAGTGCTCTCTCCCACCTTCAATACCACGACTGAGGTGCCCTTGAGCAAGGCACTGAACCCCCAACTGCTCCCCGGGTGCCGCAGCATAAATGGCTGCCCACTGCTCCGGGTGTGTGTTCACGGTTTGTGTGTGTTCACTGCTGTGTGTGTGCACTTTGGATGGGTAAATGCAGAGCACTAATTCCGAGTATGGGTCACCATACTTGGCCACATGTCACTTCACTGTTTCACTCACTGTTAAAGGTCTTGTTACATTATCTACTGAAACAACATCTGTATTTTTGATCAACATACAATAAATACAAAAATTATGTTAGTCGATCACAAATTTGCTAAATAAACTGGATTGGACAGATTTTCTTACCCACACACATTCTGCCAATAATTCGACATCCTGCTATAGAGGCATGCACGACAGGCATCGTTTCTGACAGTTCACCTTCAAAGACACTGTGGGGAAAAACAGACAATTTATATATTTATCATACACACACACACACACACACACATTTTCAGTAATCTAATTTATGACTCACCTGTAAAAGTTTTCTGAACCGCCAATCGCCACCAAGCAATATGTGTTTGTGAGTTTGGCAAAGCAGCCAATTTCATTATTCTTTTCAAAAGATGCACGGACTGCCATTCTTCTGCTATTGAACTGATCAAAACTGTCTGAAACTGATGAGAAACAACATTCACAGTGAGATAATGATGATAATAATAAGAAAAAAAATAGGGTAGATATAAAAACGTGATATAAAACAAACATTATTAACAGAATACAGCATATATATATATATATATATATATATATATATATACATATATAATTATGATCTGATAAGTTGGGAGTTTCTGCTCTACAATTAGGTTTTGATCCAACTATAAACATTCATATTTCAATAGAATATTATTATAAAGGATAATCATATTTCTAAACAGCGCATATAGTGCTATTTTAGGATGAAATCTCATCTCTGTACCTGGTTTTGATTAGGTTAGAGAAATGTACTTCTGAAACTATTATTTTTAAACATATGGGACTCTAGGGCACCATGATTAAATAAAATAATTCTCAACAAAACCTCAGGGTTAAACTCGTTCCAAGTAACTTTCCTTTAACCAGTACTTAGTCGAGGTAACGTTAGCTAGCAGTCGGCTAAATTAAGTTATTTTAACTTCTCTATTCATTAAACGCTATCAATTCTGTGTCCACTGATAACAACACAGGTTAATAATACATATCACATCCTAAATGTAATAACTGTACTATAAAATTCATGGCAATTACAACAGTAATCTTATATTTACCGATTGTCGCTCTATGTAGAAGCGTGGCCAGCCGAAAAACCACGTGTTCACGTCACTTCCTCGACGTGCTGACGTCAACGCGTTACGGCACGTGATACGTTAGCCCATGTTGTCATGAGAAACACTGCTGCCTTTGTTTTGATTCTGAAATATCAAGTTCTCAGATCCTTATTCTTTGAACAATGAAGAATCCGTATTCGTGTTAATAAAGGCTTTTTGCATTTAAAAACTGATTTAAGTTAGCCACCGCATTTCTGTCCATCTGTTGAGCATATACAGAGCATTTCTACAAAATCTCTCAAAAACCTTTAAAAAGTTAGATGCTAGATGTTATTTTTATTGATTTTTTTCTAAGAAATAGTATAAATTAATAACGCATTATAATAAATAAAACAATTAAACAGCGAACAAAAATAATTAAACTAATAAAAACATTTAACAATCACATAAAACGACTTTTATTTGCTTTTTTTACTACAAATTGTCAGTTGTTAATGAACTGATATATACATTTTGGTATAGTGTAGTCTGTGTACGTTCATTATAATAATTTTAGAATAACACTGTATAACATAAGATTAAAAGAAAATACTTAACCCGTTCAGTGATTCACTTTTGCTGCAATTTATTCCTTTTAATAGCATAATCAAAATGAATTAAATAAATATGTATTCTGTTATCTTTTTAAAATTAGCAAATTTACATTTCTATAACCTGTTGTTGTTGTTTTTATATTTTTTTATTATTAAACAGATTACAAGAACTCATAGAGGTAACAGCATAGAATAAAATCAAATGCAATAACAATCAGCATCAAACCCTATAACCTGTTGTTGTCTAAACGGCTGAGACTGGCGAGCCATGTTCCCACATGTTTTTGTCATCCGCTACAAACCTGCGTAGCAACAGGACACACCTCTCCTTGCGCTAAGGATTTGTGAGCCAATCACGATTGAGTTTCGGCGTGACGTCGTTTTTGTTGACACATTTTCGATTAGCTGGCCACCTGTGAAACGTCATTGCAGCAGCGCGTGACCCTCGACGTCCACCCCGCGTTTTCTGCCTGGAAACGTCGCGAGCTAATCGGTGCTGTGAAAACGCAGGACTCCGGGGGCTCCGGGGGCTGGAGTCGGCGTGGGGTAAAGTCTTGCCGTGCCTCGGTTCGTTAACGCACTATTGATCTGTTTTTGTCCCAGTCACGGTGTCAAACGCTCTCTTAAGTGCTTGCTGCTTATGTAGGTTTTTGCAGTGTCCTCAATACATTGCTGTGCTGTCTCTGTTGTGAGTCACAGTCTCAAACCGGATCTTCTGCGAACAATTTTGTGAGAAAGTTGCAACATAAATATCTAATTAATCTCCTGTATAACATGTACCATGGTTATACCATGTTTTTTTTTCAATTGCAGCAGCGCGTGCGCGTTGACGTCCACCCCGCGTTTTCTGCCTGGAAACGTCGCGAAAACGCAGGACTCCGGGGGCTCCGGGGGCTGGAGTCGGCGTGGGGTAAAGTCTTGCCGTGCCTCGGTTCGTTAACGCACTATTGATCTGTTTTTGTCCCAGTCACGGTGTCAAACGCTCTCTTAAGTGCTTGCTGCTTATGTAGGTTTTTGCAGTGTCCTCAATACATTGCTGTGCTGTCTCTGTTGTGAGTCACAGTCTCAAACCGGATCTTCTGCGAACAATTTTGTGAGAAAGTTGCAACATAAATATCTAATTAATCTCCTGTATAACATGTACCATGGTTATACCATGTTTTTTTTTTCATCTACATTTGTATTAAGTACCCTGGAGCACCATGGTACATGACTATGCTAATTACTCAGTACCACGGTACTTTTTTGTAGAAGGTTAAAGGGATAGTTCACCCAAAAATGAAAATTCTGTCATAATTTACTCACCCTCATGTCGTTCCAAACCTGTATGAGTTGCTTTCTTATGTTGAACACAAAAGAAGATATTTTGAAGATTGCTGGTAATCAAACAGTTGGTGGTAGCCATTGACTTCTATAGTAGGAAAAAAAAATACTATGGAAGTCAATGGCAACCACCAACTGTTTGATTACCAGCAATCTTCAAAATATCTTCTTTTGTGTTCAACATAAGAAAGCAACTCATACAGGTTTGGAACGACATGAGGGTGAGTAAATTATGACAGAATTTTCATTTTTGGGTGAACTATCCC